TCTAAGCCGTGAATAAATGTATTAAAAATTTGTGTTGTGCCTGGTCAGCACTGATTCCAGTTAACTCAAGGAAGGAGGGAAAGGCAAGGAGAACAAAAAAAAAAGAAAAGGAGAGCGGGCGAGTGCTATAGTGGCACAAAATCAAGCACTCAGCAGCTCCACAATACCCCATTAGTCTTCATTTTCAGCAGGACATGCAACAGGGCGCTTACGTCTTGAGGAACAAACTAAAATGTATTGGGCTGGCCAGTTTGGGCTAATTGAAAGAAATTGTCTGTCTGTTTGCTTTCCATTAGGTTTGTAGAGGGTGGTGGGTTGGGGCGGGGTGATGATCTGGGGCCTGAGCTGGTTGCCCTTCGCTCAACACTACGGCCTGGTTTCCTGTTAATGGTTTGATCCATGAGCGCTCTCCACTGAGAAGACAGTCTGGGCTGTGGGAATCATTTAAGGGGGAATCATTTAAGGAGGATTTATGAGATGCGTTCATTATGAAGTGAGTACAGACAAACAGTCTTCAATCGATAACGGCAGCTCATTTGTGGTTTACGGCGCCGTATTGCACTTGCTGTAGTTTTGGTTCACTCCTCCCCCAGAGTGAAAACATACTGATTATGACTGATCATCTCAGTCCTGTGATTCTGAAATATTTTGATGCCACGCGAGAAACTTTTATACTTATAGCTGGTTTTACAGCAAGTAGGTTATCGGTATAGTGCCTCAAATTGTTATAGTGTCCAAGCAATCAATTGGAGGCAACTGACCCTTCGCTATGTCCGGTTCTCGAATGTAGACTAGCCGCTCATGGCGTAGTTTCATCTCTAATCGAGGTCCGACCACTGCTCCATAGACTCTCATGCAATCTTTTCAGATGTTCTTAATTTCCTTCTGGCTTTGAATTTAGATGTATTCATGGTTAAACATTGTCTTACAGTGATACTTGTTACCCAGAGAGGTTGGACAGACATATACATTTCTTAAAACGTTATTTTTCTACGTAAAAACCTGTGAAGCTAACATCAGCAGAGTATGTAACTACATCATTAACTAGTGTTAGCACGTCTATGCTACGCTAGTCTGACATCCTGGATATATCCTTCGAACGTGTATTGTTGACCCTTCTGTCCGTCTGCTTCTCTCTGTAATCGTGGTTTCATTTGAGTGCAGTTAGTGACAGTGTGGGCTCCATGGCAGCTCTGACAGTTTGACGGAGAAGCAGCAGGGGGCGGGGCCTAGTGAAGGGTCAATTGTGAACTTTTTTTGTCTTGAAATCTGAAGGTCACACATTTAGTTTCCATCTCTATCAAAAAGTCATCTTAAGCTGACCTGATGCAGCAGACAGTTCAAATGACCTTTGCCCTCATCTCTATGAGCAGACGTCTGTTGTCCCTCCAGCAAAGAGGAAGATGGTGTGATAACATTATAGTGAAAGAGTGGAGAAAGAAGTTATGTAGAAGATAAACAAACATTTTAATAACTTATAACAACTTAATATTTCCATACTTTTCGTTTCTTTTTTATGATAACATTTTATTCACCAACTTCCTTTCTGAGATCTTCAGCCGTAGCGATGCAGTATTGCAGTAGAGTGCTCTTCTATTCGATTTCGGAGAGCCTCTTTCTTACTCTAACCTAACGTACGTTGTGTTACTGACACAGATTTATATTGCAACACACATATGAATGAAACAAAAATGGACACCCTTGTTTTGTCATGCAGAATAAGTGGACTAGATAATTTGTTTAAAAACTCAAAGTCTCATGTTGTCTGCCCTTTTGGAACTGTAAAGAAGTATCAGGTTATAAAAATAGGTTAAATGCATCTTCATTATTAACAAGAGATTTGAGTGGAATGGTTGGAAAAAATTCATTTGTTGGCTTGTCATCCCCATTGCTAAATATCAATGTTCTGCACTAAGTACAGTGCATGAAAGAAGAAGACATAATAACCAGAAGGCGACACACTGCAAAACATCTATTGAAGCTCTACCTGGACGAAAATCAAATACAGTATATAATAACATTTGTATGTGATTCTAGGACATCGCAATTACACTTTACCAATTCTGGATGAAAGCGTAACCAAATGTAAAAGAGCCGGTTGTATTTAGTTTTGTTTTCAGTCAGGCATCTAATGCTGACTATATTTTATGTTCATTGTGCGTAGATAATCAATAGAACATCTTTTGATGAAACAAATCCCTTCAGCCAAATCAATATTTGTACGGCCAGTACATCAGTGTACTTTAAACGTCATTGTGGATCCACTGAAGACAAAATGGAGGCCACAGCTCGACTTGAAAGGGGAACATTAATTTAGCTGAGAAAAGACGGAGGCTTTCGCAGTACACGGCATCTAGTATTCTGAAGTGTTGCATTAACAAAGCGCAAACAGAATGACCCGGCTGCCTGTTAGACATGTGACAGGCATTCCGCTAAGTTAAAGTACCAGACAGTCAAAAACATAATCCACATCTGCCAAAAACATTTTGACACAATTTCTGCCTTCTGCTTCCTCTCCCTCCTCTTCTCTGTCACAGGCTCGATAAACTCTCTGCCTCTCCGTCTCCAACCTTGCCTCAGTCTTCGCTCGTTTATAATTGCTCACATTTAACAGCTGAGCTTCTGAATCCTGAGGAGCAATGAGACTGAGGAGGAGGCGGAGAGCTCAGAAAAAAAATAAATAAATGCACGCATCTCTGGTAGAAATTGACTGGCACCAGTGTTTAAAATAATAAGATGCAGCTGTTGATAGTAGCGACTGTCTCCAGGTTTATACTTCCCCGTGGCCCCTGTGGCAGCAGAGGAGCCATGATGAAGGCAGACAGCTGACAGGTGCTCCAGGATGATGCTGCCATCAGGTGCATCTGCTAAACTTAACTCGGAGACAGGAGAGGAGGGCTATGGAGAGGGAGGGAAAGAGAGCGCAAGAAAAAGATGCTCGAGCGAGACAGTGAGTAGGGGAAAAGGTAGAGAAGTGGCCAAAAAATAGGAGGAAAGGAGGGTTAAAGCGGGAGAATAAGTGTGTGTGTGTGTTCGTGTATAATATGTGTATGATTGCGTGCACCTTGAAACTTTATGCCAGCCCATCATGTAAATAAATTCACAGGATGTTTTTGAACCTGCGAGGTTGACGGAATAGGTGCCTCTCCGTCTAGACGCTGACACTCTGGAGGGCTAACAAGTTTACCAAGCGGGTCAGGAGATGGGGAGATGCAGGGGAAAGGTAATAAGGGGAGATAATGAGCAGGTACAGAACATGATGGAGAGGAAATAGTAAGAAATAATAAGAATGAAGAAATTAAATATATTTTTAAAAGGTGCAAGGGGGGGAAAGGCAGCTTGTCAGGGAGTGAGTGTGTGGCTATAAAGTCTGTGTGAGACACAGGGTATGTGTTGTTACCATATGTTCCTATATCACTGCACGAGTCAGCATTTTTGCAACTGCTATATTCACACATGCCTTCCAAACGCAGCCTGGGTCTGAACATACAGCCTTAATGGATTCAATGTGTGCTGCTCTGATAGTGGCGACACTGACGGTGTTTCTGACTTTAATAAAAAGGTGTAGCGGGCTCAAGTCAGGAGCTGAGGCTGGAACTTGAACCCCCTTGAACCCTCCTCGTGCTGGGGGAGGGGCCCTTCATAAAACTCAAGGCCAACCAGATGAAGTGTTCACTTGTATCACGACTCAGTTCTGGGCCAAGCAAAAGGTGACGGCGAGTGTGACCAAGTAGCTGATATTCCCTCTCTTCTTTTTCTCGGGTGTCAAGCTCTCTCTCTACGCACACACACACACACACACACACACACTCTCTAATACGCAAATGCACAGCAGTGTGGAAGGCGCCTGACAGAGCCCAGTGCATCGCAGGTAGCCCGACAGTGTGGCTGGGAGCGCTGTCACCAATTTGTTCCTAGCCATGGGGGACATGCAGGGGATGGAGAGGCGATGGCAGCTCCCTTTCCTCATCATGGCTAATGAGGCCCAGGCTTCTCCTTCCACCTCTGTGTGTGTGTGTGTGTGTAGGATTGGTTTGTATCACTTCGTGTCACAGTGCTGCCAAAAATCCTATTTCTGAAAAACCGGGGTTGATATCTGGCACAGACTTCCATGCACTCTCTTAGTTCTGCTTATACAAGTCTCCTTGCTGAATTATTTACCGACCCAAGAAACACACACACACACACACACACACACACACACACACACACACACACACACACACAGACACACACACACACACAGAGAGAGAGAGAGAGAGAAGGCGAGCAAGGAGATCAGGTCTTGTTCATAGCAGCTACCATTCAATACAGATCTTCAGGGACACCACACCAGTTGAGGTGTGCTTGCTGTGCCGGCTGACCCTTCAAACCATCAACCAGAGAGAGGGAGGACAGGAAGGCAGAGAGAGGAGAGCAATTGCATCATGCCCGCTGTGATAAAATACAGCCAGAAATAATGAATTCTTATGGAGGACTAAAACTGGTCAGTGTAGGACAGAACCCCTTAGGAAACATGGTACACCATCATGGCAGAGTTTTAAGCCTTTAATAATGTAGTTTTTTCAGACTAGTGTTTCAAGTTGAAGGATCATCGGGTCGTCTGTGACAAGAAATTCTGTAAATTATTTTATGTTTTGAGTAATCTCCCAATATTTGTACAACGACTTTATCGTTGCTTTGTAGACAAAGATCCGTCACACTGAACACCAAAGAAGTTTGGGAAGCATTTAGCATCGTGTTTGTAGGACGCATGAGCGATGCTCCTTCTGGTGATATAATGCTGATATCCATCTTGAAGACATTAAGAGTACAAAGACATTCAATCTTATGAGAGATGAGAACTGTGTGTTGCAGTTCTGTCAGGGTAATGGTAGGAAGAACGGCACGGCTGTATTTGTAGTTCAGGAGCTCCCCGGTGTGGTAGAAAAGGAGAACTGCAACCAAAGGTGGCACCTTAGTGATGGTGACATTTCATACCAAAAACACGGCACATGAAAGAGAGCGCTTCTGTTTTTAATCGTTAAATACAGTCCATTCAATCAGAAAAAAGCCCTCACAAACCAACATTCTTCATCCAAAGCTTGAGGTGAACTACAATCAGCTTCACTCGGAGATGAATGTAGTCAACATTGGGCAGTGGCATTTGCTAAATTAAAGAACAAGAGGAGAAGATAGAGAGGCACAGCAAAGGGATATAAGAAGACAATAGTTGCTAGGAGAGCTGTTAAGCGGAAAACCAGCAGGGAAGCAAACCAACAGCAGGAAATCAAAACAGCGTAGGAGAGTCTGAGCCAAGTAAAGATAGAAGAGCGAGGTAGGAGACAGAGAGAGAGAACCTGAATTATTCTGCTGATTCACCTAACACCAGAACACGGCCCAGTCAGCTACCGGGGAACAGTGGAGGAGAGATCAGCTTCTTCCACATTGAACCTTCACAGCATTAAGGGACAAACCCGCCCACCGAGAAGAGCTTAAAATCCCTGATCACACCTCTGATTGTAAATAAATATTTGAGCTTTTTCAGCTTTCGTTTGTTTTTTTGGAATGCACACGCATTAAAACATGACCCCAAGTACACTTTGTTTCACAAAGATGCGTTATACTTCAGACTTCGTAATCCTACAGTAACGCAACTGAACACATTGACTCTACTGGAACTACAAATGTTTCACCTGAACCCACAATGACTGATGAAAGGCGAGTTGTTTCGAGATGAAGGCAAATGAGTAAGGATACACACAGGCGTTTTTTTAATTATGGCTATTAACAGTGAGGATGTGTGTGGCTCGATGAGGCAGCAGAGGAGTAGAGGCGGTTCATTAAGGTGCAGGTGTGGGTGGTTTAAAGTGACCAGTCTTTCTGAAGTAGCGCACGATGAGAGGCACGGACACCAGAGTCATGCTGATGCGAACCGGAGCGAAGAGCTTGTGGATGGCGTAGGCCAGGACGAACGTGCTGGTTCCCGCTGCCATTTTAGACCGAACGACCACCTCGCTGAAGCCCACTTTGCACAGCACAGCCGCCATATCGATCCCACTGGGGAGACGGATGACACAGAAATGGGTTAGAAGTACATAGAATTCACACGTTAGACGATCACTCACACTTCTTCTTACAGTTTTCTTTGTATTAAATGATTGATCCTCTACACGCACAGACATTTCAGGCTATGCCCTCCTCAGCACGCGTGGGGGTGACTGTGGCTAAGTGGATAGCAGGGCCATCCTTCAATCAGAGGATCGGTGGTTCGATCTCCGGTTCCGGCTCCGCTAAATCGCATGTCGATGTGTCCTTGAGCAAGACACTTAAACCCAAAAATTGCTCCAGTACGTGCCTACGGTGTAGAAATGTGATAGAATCTGGATTGCAAGTCGCTTTGGATAAAAGCGTCTGCTAAATGACTGTAATGTAATGTGTATACCAAGGTTATGTTGACCTCAGCCCCTCCCCTTAAATATTACAATTCTTCAGCAAATCATTCAAAATAATCATGAAAAAACTGAAAAACAAACATGGAAAATGTAATAACCTCAGTATTAAAAAAGGAAGACATAATTAAGCTAATAAACATTAAATTAATTTAAATGAAAAAAACTAAAAACACAACATTGAGAATATAAATAATAAAATAATAAAAAAAACTACATTTGGACTTTCAGCAACATCAGCCATACAAGCTCTCATGAAACTCATCAACAGTAAGGTAACTCTGTATGGGCTATTATCTGGATTACAACAGTCCATAAACCCAAACTAACCATCTCAAAGAAAACATTTAAATTTACAGATGCTTCAGAGCCCCAAAAATATGCCCTAAAAGCCTCACGCGGCAATAACAACTTCTCTTTATCGCCAAGCTTTTGCTCCCATCTGTCAAGAGATGTTTTATAAAGCAGACGAGTAGAGTCCCATCCTCCCTTTCGCTTCTGGCTCGGTAGTTAGGAGTGCAAGTCACCTTTATTTCCACCAGAGGGAGCTGTGCTCCCAAAAGAACGTTGTAGAATGTATTTTGTGGCCTTTTGAACCATTTAAGCTGATGACATTAGCATAAGAAACACTACAAAATCAAAGAGGGTTTAACAAGCTACATGTATCACTGCCTCTGTGAGACAGTTCTGTAGAGTCGTGGCATTTTCATCTGACCTATTTGGGAAAATAAATATGCAGATAGTGCTAACACAAGGCATAGAGCTGCTTCAATCCCCCCCCACACACACACACACACACACACACACACACACACACACACACACACACACACACACACACACACGTTCAAGAGTCATTATCAGCTAGTGTGCATCAGGGATGTCTAAGCTGTCAGATGATCTCGGCTGGCTCAGACTGACAGATAATCTTACTAAAAAGGTTGTTCTGTGCTGCTTTGGCTTTGCACTGTCTGCCACCACCAACAGAAGACTACAAAGAACATAAGATAGCTGAAAGAAGTGTCTAAGATTTTAAAATGCTGCTTGCTGTTGTAAATAGTAAATGCAAAAGTAGTAGTACTTTAGACTCAGACTGAGTGGAGCTCTAGAGCCTGCACTTTGCTTTCTCTCAGATTACAGGCTTTGCATTCCTCGGTATAAAAGCAGCCCATTGGGACAGGAAGTTCCTGTTGACATCTTTTGTAGAAAAAGTTGCACTCGGATTCTCTCACACTGCTAGATGAGGTTATAATAAGTGATGTATAACATACGTGTTTGATGCATTCCAAATGTAGTCTTGCATTTAATTTTCTTCTAGTTTCCTTTCCCTTCAGCCTGCTTGATTGGCTTTTACTTCAGTCAGTGATGTCCTACATTTACCAAAATACTTTTATTTATTTAAAAAGATGTTGCCTTCAGCTGCAGGCTGTATTAAGAAGGACTATTATGGTTTGACAGCAATAAATGAATGTCCCCTTCTCCTCCTGCTGAGAATCAGTACATCTAGAAATATGCTCCTACTCTTTGATTTTTAGGGGAATAATCCAAAATGTGTTGTTTTTTTTTGTCAAACCGTAGCCACACTTGATAAATGGTGACTTTATAGCAAATAATCTCTCTTAAGACATTCAACGAGAGTCAGAAAAATGTGTTCTGTTACAAAACAAGAAAATAGTAGCAGATAAGGTCATGGTATATGCGACACGCTTTATAACAGCGTTCAGGCGCAGAGTTGATTGACTTTGTACTCATTTATAGTTAATTTCACCAGCCCCTCATCTTTATCTTGAGGAAAGGGGAATATAGGATAATATTCTATCCAGCTGCTAAGAGGACGCACTATATGTGGCCACTGGTGTCCCACGTGTAGAAGAAGCTATAATGTGATGTTTTGTCACCTGGATATAAGGAGGTAGAACATTCCCAGGGACATAAGGGAGATCACGATGTGAAAGGAAACTCCCACCGCTCCATATTCCTTGAAGACTTTCTTTAGCTGCTGGGTCTTGTTCGGTTTCCCTCCCTCTGGCTCCGGCTCCCCCGAGGCCTTCGCTGTAGATAAGGAGGTAGAAGAGGCCTCCTTTAAATTCTTCTCGCCCTGGACAAAAAAAAATAAAAAATAAAAAATACAGAGAGCAGCATTGGAGGCAGTGATCAGGACAAAATGAAATGGGAGGAACAGAACGTGTGTGTAATAAGACAGAGAAGAACAGAGGGGAGATACAAACGACCACGAGGAAGTGGATTCACATTGTGGGCATAGTTTCCACTTGGCATACAAAATGGTGACACTTTTCCTGTTAGTATTCCAAGAACTCCCTCAAACTACAAAACTGACAAGCTCCAAGATGGAGGCTTCACTTCTGGTTCAACTAATGTCACACTTCTTGACCATTCTTGGGGATTGAAACACAGAAAAGCTCAAACAACCAAAGAACCGACCAGTTATCCTCTAATATCCAGTTGACATGAATTGACGATGTTTGTATGAGTGGTGACACAGAAAAATGACATCAATTTGTTACTCTAGTCTCGACAGAAGAGTAAATGAATAAAAAATGAATAGCATCCAGAGGTGCAATAAATATGTAAAGGTCAGGGTTGCAGCTGTTCTCCTTTGCAGGGTAGTACTGACCCGTTGAGCGACTCCGAACGCTAAAAACAATGTACCATTCCACAATTGATCAAAACAGATACCCAAAGCTACATTTGTATCTTTAAACGAGTCAAGAATTTCCTTTTTTTTTTTTTATTTTTAGTTAAAATACAGAAATGCATGCATCATCAAAATACAGAAGAAAACCATTGTGCTCCATCTAGTTCAGAGTCGAGGTCACATCGTACAAGTAGGTCAAACAAAGCCTGGAGTCAGCTGACTAAACGTGTGTGCTTTAGGTAATCCACATGATCACTTACCCTTTCACACACTCACGCGGACCAAGTCAGTCACTCTCTTCCAAACACACAAACAAAGAGCCTTTCATACGTGCAAACAAACACACACACACACACACACGTGTGTGTGTGACCTCCAGACGCACCACTCTCCAAGTCCCAGACACAACCGTCTGACGTGTAGCAGGGAGCAGGCGGGTCACTCCAGTGCGTGCTGGCAGTAGAACGGATAAGCGAAGTAGAACACGCTCGACAACAATAAGACAACAGACTGCAGCGGAGCTTTGGTGGCTAGACGTGTGGAGGAGACGAGACTCACGGAGCAGCTCGGGATGCAGGAAATGAATAAAATTTAAAAAAGTGGACGCTGCCAGTATGTTGACACGGTGATCCTGCTTAACGCAGCAGAAACCTGTTCAGGGGGTATGCACTTTACAATTTAAGGGAAATTATAAAAGGAAAATTTAATTGGAGTACTGAACTTACCCAATTATAATTTTGATACGACACTGATTTCCCAGGAAGTCTTTTCAGTCAGTGTCCTGACATCGTGCGGGGTAAATACTGTGTGAAACTGCAATCTTAATTATAGGAGGCTCTACCTGTTTTGGCAGCGTATTGATATAAAACCTCTTCAAACCATGTCTGGAGCACCACAAACCAAAAACAGTCATTTTAAAAGTGTTACTTGAACAATAGGGCTTCTATTAGGAATTGTAGATTAGGTTTAGGGACGCCTCAGACCTACGGGACATTAGTGTAATATGTGTGATAATGAAGATAGTAAAGAATTATGGATCATGAAAGCACAATGCAGCAGGAGTTAAAAATGATACTGAATCACAGAGATGAAGCATTCTTGAACATTTCAACCCACAGAGAGCCCCGTGTTTAAATAAAAGTATGACTTCAATCAGGAAATATTTGACCAAAGTATAAGTAAACAAGAGTCTACATTCAGAGCCAACGCTCTGTACCAGACAGTTTGTACCCAGTGCTGTGCAAGCGCACTCATTGGCCTGATCATGCTGCTGTGGATGTGAAATTACAACAACATATCTTTTATGGGGCCCTTGCAGATTAATTAGAGGTTTCGATTATGATTAAGGATACTGGGGGGGAAAATTATTTCAGATTTAATCTCTACTGTTTTTTCTTTTGGATGCCGTTAAACCGAAATGGAAACAGTAAAAAGGGCATCGTGTCCATTAGCTCCGTCTGATGCCAAGTTGTTCTAATATATTTTCTGCCGAGAGGAAACCCAAATCCTTCCCTGAGAAAACAGGAAGTAGCTCGGGCCTGTATGGAAGGAATAGTATTGGACTAAATATTGACATTGTGCTTTCCAAAGCAAACTGCAGTGACCTCTTTACCAGGAAATGTATTATGATAGCAGACGCCATGAAGGCGAGGTTAACTTGAACAGTGATGAGGACAGAATGTAGGCTGATGGGAAATGTGTGTATGAACATACACAGAGAAATTATAACTACGCCGATACTATGCATCAAAATAGTAACTTGATGTCTTACAAAAATGGAAAAAATAAACTGGATACATACAAAAGCATGCAACTCACATATAAAACAAATAAGAGCTTTGAGCATGTAATTCTATCTAAAGTGACTAAAGGGGTGAATGACTGTACTGAAATGAGCCAAGTCACAATTATGAGTCACACACTTCCATGGATTTGAAGTTTGGTAACTTCATTTGTAACTTCTACAGAAATTTCTGCGTCCATTCACTGACGTGTGCGACATTTAACCTAACATACAGAAACGTTCATTTACATCCTTCTACCCTTGTTTTGCTGCTCGGACATTATGCTTGCTTCAGACTGTCTTCCTTTGTTGGCCTGAGTCAGACAACTAATCACTAGGGCAGAAACAATGAAGACGAAGAAGGGAACGGGAGAAAAACAAGCTGATCTTTTCTCTTTGCGGCAATCTGTCTTGCTGAATTTTTTGTCCCGAGCCCCCTGGATGAAGCCATAGTCTTGGTGACGTGTTCACTGGCCGGCCAACAATGGACAATAGAAAGAAGAGAGTGGGCGAGGGAGCAGGCCTTTGCCTTTCAGAGGCAAGTCAGGCCGAGCTAAAAGTAAAGGCAGGCAGCAGTATGGGAGGGTCATGTGAGCGAGCGGCCAAAGGGAGTTGTGCCAGGGAGGCTGTATAGGAGGGGAACAGTGGCACTGCTGTGTCTGATAACAGCTTTTCAGAGACATGAAAACACATGCGAAGTCACAGTGGCACACACACACACACACACACAGCACACACACAGCACACACACAGCACACACACACACACACACACACACACACACACACACACACACACACACACACACACACACACACACACACACAGAGAGCAGGAGAGAAGTGGTAAAGGGGTGAATCCCTCAAGCAGAGGCTTAAAAACGACTGCTAAGTGTGTGGTCTCGATAAGATGATAAAGTCAAACTGAACACAACAGTCAGCAGAACCGTCTCATTAAAGGGGAACTGATGATTTTACACATCAAAGTCTGTTCACACGTCTAAAAAAAAAAAAAGAAGCTCAAGAGGGAGCTGCATGAAGTACACTAAATTGCCTCAAGTGAGGTCACTTGAGTCAGTGTTTGTTGTGTCTAAAGACTACAAGTTTGAAAAAGGAATAATAAATAATAAGTGAGCTTATCTGAAGTCTGTAGCCCGCTCCTCATCTGTGCTCGAGGTTAGTGGCTTATGGCTACGTTAGCAGCTACTTGTATAACAAGCCTGAATCTCCGACAAAACTGTCAGCGGTTGAGTTGCATTGTGGGTAATATAGGCGCCAAGGTTTTCACAGGGAAGAAGAATGTGTGGATCTCTGGTGCGTGGATTTAGATCCCGATCCATCATGAGTCTGATTACGTTACAGAGTGCAATGCTACATTAGTGGAGTGCTCCTATGTTGATTTAGCTGGTGGCTGGCAAAGAGTGAGGATTGCATCAATAGTTACATGACGAGTGCATATCAAGCAGAAGAACTAGATGCTTTAGATTACAGCTAGGCTTATGGACCGTCTCTTCAAAACTTGAACTTTTTTTGAAATAATTATTTCAAATCATGAATTGTCCCAAACTAGATATTTATTTCTTTGGCCACATCACCTTAAGCATGTGCCAAATTTCTTGTTACTTGTCGGCCAACGTCATGATCAATATGGTGTCTGCAATATTATACGTCGGTCTAGAACTAAATTAAATTGTCACTATTTGAAAGCAAAAGCCAGGATAGCTGCAACGTTGGCCAGTCCACCACTTGGTCCAGAGAGAATTTGATTGACTATTCAATGCACTACTGTGACATTTGGTACAGATATTTTTCATGCCCAAATCCAAATGACTTGGTAATTCCCCGACTTTCCCTCCAGCACCATCACAAGGTTAACAAGTGTAATGTTTTTCCAACACTTCTCTTGAAAGCTAATTGCCAATCGGCCTCAACTGTACGCTGTGCTTAAAGCAGCTGTTAGCATGCTAACGGTGATGGTGAACAGTAGACCTGCTGCACATCAGCATGTTAGCATTGTCACAGTGTGCATGTTAGCATGCTGGTGTTAGCGTGATGAAGGACAGAGCTGTAGTCTTGTGTAATTATCTAACATAATGCTTATGTAATTCAGAGTAAGCCTCAGACTCATAGCCTGCATTACTCTGAAGAGAATACAGTATATAGCGTTTGTTGTGCCCTCCAAGAACTGCTCATTGCAGGTCAAGATCACCCACTAGAAGAGCACACGCTGACTTCATTTACATTTTATTCAAACTAAACGGGTTTGAACACAGTGACTCATTCTTACCATGAGTCAGGTTTCTGTGAGCGAGTTGAACGGTGTGTCAGCATGTGCTCTCATCTCTGTAAACAACACCGCTGCTACTTCAGATTCAAGTTGTTCAGGCGGATCAATTATGCATGAACTACTGTGTGAATCTCCCTGCAAATGCTGCTGTGAGTGTCATGCAGTGTTTAACAAGCCTGCCTGCTTACAGGATGGCAGTCAAAGAGGAGGCCCACGCAGGCGGGCGCGCGGGCATTCTTTTGCATAATTCATGTTTTTGAGTTGAATCCGGGCTCCACTGGGACACACGTGGGGGTTCCCCTCACCAGTAAACCACAGTGTGTGTACATAGGCTGGGACCTGTGCGCTCGTATTAACTTGCCACTGGGGTTAGACAAACACTCGAGCTGAATGGTTTCAATTACCCCTTTGTCGTTAGCCGTCTGCTCCTCTCCGGCGTCGCTCTTCTTCGTGGATAAGGCTCGGGTCTGCATTGTCCCAGCGGAGCAGAGTCGACCGAACCCCCCCCAGTCACCTGTAAACGAACCATTACCCACCAGTCCTCCGCTGCGGCGCCTCTTTGGGTGCACGAGCGGCTGCGTGATAACATCTATGTAACCGCCTTCACTTTGCACGCGTGTCGAGAGATTCACGTGTTTAGTAGCCACCCGGTCCAAGTGTCCCCAGTCAGAAGCACACGGCGAGTCCCGGTCCTGTTGTTGTTTCCCCGGTCGCGCAAGAGGTGCATCGACACCCCCGACGGACACGCAGAAACACCGGTACCGCTGAAACGTGTAACCCTTGCGTAATGTCAAAGTGCCGTCCCTCAGTCTGTCCGCTCTGACTTGCACTAGAAACGAGCGCGTTGACTTAAAAGCGTGATCCAGAGCCGCTGTAGACAGCCTCCCCGTGCGGCACAACAACATTGTCGACGACCGCCTCCGAAACGAGGAAGTGAAAAACAAATAAAGCGCGTAAACCGTTCAGGGCAACTAATTATGTGTGGAAGTAGCTGTAAACATGCTGTCCTGTGCCCTCTCGCCTCCCTCCGGTCCTCCGATTATCACCGACAGCCAATGAGAGCTGACGCGCAATCGCAGATAGAACAGCTTCACGCGAAGGGAGGGGGATATTTAAAGGTGTAACCGTGTTAACGCTTACAGTCGAGTTATGTCATGAAACGGCTCTGGAGCGTAGTGAGCATAATGCATGTTGTTTTTAAAGGCAGGCAGCTCTGCTTCAAGCACTCGTTTGAAGTTTAAACTACTCTGCTGGCTGTTGACTTAGTTCAAATGTGTACATTTCAGTACAGATTTGATCTATTGGTCATTTTCCCACATTCTGTCCTTGTGGTTATACCCCATGCCAGGCCTTTAACGTGATTACAACTGTCCTCTCTGTCAGAGCAAATTATGAGATGAAGTGATCCAAACAAAACAATCAAAGCAATTCCTTTATTCATTAACTTATTCTAACCAGGGAGGCTTTCTTTAGAGACATCAACAAACAAAAGGAAGCAATTACGAATGACAAAAATCAAGACGTACACAGTCCATAAAGAAAGAGGAAATGTACATGAATGAGCATGCTGAAGGAAAACAAAGACATCAGCTAAATGAAACAACACAATTGCACACTATTCTTCCGATACTGACAATACAGAATATCCCGCTTGTCATTGTTGGCCCGTATCTGTGTTTTTGGGTGTTACTGTATGTTATGGGGAGATAAGGCTGGTCAACCAGCAGAAAGACAAGATAGTAACGGCATTTTAAACTGTTTCATAGGCGTGCACATCTCACGTGAAAAGTAGAATTTATCAAACGTTTTCTTCCCTTCACTTTTTGTCTTTTCTCCTCTTCTGGTGGAGAAAGTATTGAGATACTTAGTAAGAAATAGTACTACCACACTATAAAAAAAAAAATCTAATCATGAGAAAATGTCCCATATTCATAATTTATCTTAAGTAAAAATACATAAAACAGTAGTTTATCTATAGAAAGATATCATTAATTGTAAAATGATCATCTGTTTTGTATGTAAACTCTTAATCCTCAAAGTAACTAACTGTCAAATAAATGTAGTGGAATAAAAAAGTTAAAAAGTACAATATTTCCATCTTAAATGTACTGGAGAAGAAGTATCAAGAAACTATTCAAGTAAATTGTACAGTACTTGAGTATATGTGACATAGTTACTTTCACTTTATGTTACTCATGTCAATTTGCATGCCTTTGCGAAACCATACAGAAGTCTTAACAAAAGCCAAACCTAAAAAAGGAAGTGGTGGGGAAGAGTATCATACTGAATTTAATATTTCAGTTTTTCATGTCTGAGAGTGCTGAATCGTGTCTGTGGTAAATCTTTTCATGCAAAATGTGCACCTTTTTCTCAAACAGACATTACAGATAGAAACAAACAGAGACAAAAGTGCAGGGAAAGCAGTGAGAGTGAGTAGGAGGTGAGATAAAGAGGGTGAGATGTTCTGCAGGAAGCCACGAAAAACAGCCCACAGTCAGTGCAGCAACGGAGCCGCTGACCTTTCAGCAAAGCAACAAGATCAACACATGGGCTCATTTAAAACAGCTATTCATTTAGAATCTTCATATCTGTGGTTTTGGTCAAATATCCTTTTATTAGTTAAAGAATGAAACACCAATTTGCCTATAGGGGACATCATTGTGTGTAAATGTTAAAAAATGATAATATCTGAGTATAAGTACTGTTAATGTGAACTTGTACTGCCTCATACAGACAGAATGAAGAGGAAGTTCAACCCAAGTTCCTAATCTGTGATAACAGCTGAAGAAGAAAGGTGACTAAATTAGGTTGAAAAGGGTGATTTTTGCATAACCTTGTTTCAACAGCAATTCAGTCGATAAATATGTTGTTGTATTATGATTTTTTTATGACTTTTACATGACACATTTTGATATTAAATTATTTATAGCATATTATACTATTTTATATACTATGATATGTTATAACATTTTTATGACATGTTTTACTATGACTTTATTTATAATTTTTACATTTTTTATGACATACTATACTTTGACATTTTCTTTGGGATACTGTTGATACTATGACTTGCGTGTGTCATTTTTCATAATATAGTATGGTATGCCATCAAAATGTTTTTAAAAAAAGTCAAAAAGTATGACATTTTTAGAAATTCTATAAGATGACTTTTTTCCATACTATAATATGACATTATATGGCATACTATAAACATACTTTTTATTGTATACTATACCATGACATGTTTAATGACACTGACATGAAACTGATTTTACAATGATTTTTGCAGAGCCTACTACAAGGGTCTGAACAGAAGGTTGTAATAGGGGAACTTTTGTGGAGCATCTTTGTGGTTTGATGTATAAATTCAAATGAACATTGTGTCATTGTGTATTTTGTTTTCTTCTAGATGCTGAATGTTCTTCTGTACAGAAATGCAGAAGAACAAAACCTGACTTGATCCTGATTGGTCAATAATCTACAGAAACCCTGAGGGGCAAGTGAGAAAAACAATATGATTCATTTTCCATTTTCATTCTGTGCTATGACATTTCTTATAGGATACTATACTCTGACTTTTTTTTGCCATTTTCTATGATATACTATAATGTAACCTTTATGGCATACTATACCGTGACTTTTTAAACAATTTATTGTGACATACGGAATTATGCATTTATTTGAATAAAACCATATGACATTTTGTATTGCATACAATACTTTGAGTTTAAAAAATAATAATTTTAAGGGTATACTATACTATGACTTTTTAATCATCTTTTATGACAAACTAAATGATGTAATGCTTGTTACATACTGTAGTATGACATTTTTATGGTATACTATACTACAACTTTGTTTTGGGACAATTTTAGGACATGCAATACTATGGCATTTTGTATTGCATGCTATAGGCTTACTCTGACACATTTTATGATATACCATACAATACATTTTTATGACATACGATATTTATTTTATTTGTATAGCGCTTTAAAAGGTACTCAAAGATGCTTTAATGTACTATATTTGTATATTTTATGGAAAACTATACTGACATTTTTCACGACAGAATGGCTGTTTCACATTTTTCATGACATACTATAACTTTTTAATAATATACTATACTATGACATATTTGATATGACCTACTATCATAGTACATTTATGTGGCATACCAAATTTGATGGCACGCTGACATTTTTTATGACATTTTTCAAACGTACTATATCATTAAAGTCTTTATGGCATACTATTCTATGACTTTTTATGACATTTCTTCAGGACATACTGTCATTAATTTATTTGGAACACTTGATAGGTGGACATTTCCAGTTGGTGAAGGAAGTGTTGCAGCTCTGGTGACACACTCAGAAAACCGGTTACTCTGGTTTCTTGAGACAAGCCTGACTGTGGTCAATAACATTTTGTCCTTCAGTTCAAATTCAAGTTGTTTAGAGGCTTCTAAACAGAAGGCCGTTGGTGTGTCATGATTCCAACTACTGGATCATTTTTGTAGCTTCTCTTATTCCTATTGTTTACAGTGCCTTCAAGGGAAATATATTTCAATAGGTATTGGTAGCATTTGCACTGACACTGTGTCTCATGCCTGAGAGTAAGCAACTGATTTATTGTTCAGCTCTACTTAAATCTGAGTGTAAATCCCTCAGTCGATTGGCTTTTATCGACGTCAGGACAGACAGACCTTGACTCGCTCTACGTAAACATCTTAAATTCAAGTCAAATCGACAGAGAAGCCCAGTGAAGTCCAACACATCCTGGGAACCCGGCAGACGTTCTGACCCGCTGAACCATCCCTCCATCCGTCCATCATGCTCATTGTGCAGCTCTTCTATCTGTCTTCTAACAGGCTGGCAGTGTGGTCAATAGCTGTGGCCTCCTCCCAGCGCAGGCCCACTTTCAGGCCTGCCATCCACCCTTCATTTGTATGCTGTCTTTCTTTCATCAATGAAAACATCCCTTCTTTCCACCCGTCACTCACATCATGGTGGTCAGTGTCTTCGCAACTCCTGGCATCGGTTCATTTTCCTACTTTATGCTTTCACACTCCTGACTGCTCCTCAGTGCTCCTCGTCCCTCCATTTGTGTGTGGAGCAGAGTGGCCAGTATGCGTCTGTATGCTCATTCTGGCACTGATCCACTCCATCCTTCAGTGAAGAGGACTGAAGGACTTGGACCTGAGCCAGCTGGCCTGGACTCAGTGCAGGCACAATAGCAAAAGCCAGACCATGCAGATGAGGTTAATGCAGCCTGGATCATGTTTTCAGCACCAGTGTCCTCCTCTCTAACTATTTACCTGAGACAAACGGAGGCGGCTTCAGACTGATGGGGGATTTCTCCTAATATTTGCTCAAGTAACATAGAGGACAGTAACTTGATGTAGATGTTTGACAAATTAGTTTTGTATTTTCAAATCCCTTATCTGACATCTTAGCCAGTAGGTGTTGTGTTATAACAGCCTAATGTAATGTAAATACTGATAAGCTTCTCCATAAAAAAAACAGACTTCCAAATCAGTGCCAAAAGGTCACTCCCCTAAAATCAACAGCAGTGAACGGGATGAATAATCAACCATTGGTAGCCTGCGGCTTTTGTTTTTCTGAACAGTCACTGAGAAGAATCTGAGTGGAGAAAGTCAAAATCCCAAAGCGTGTCCCCCTTAAACTGTCTTCTTTACTTCTTTCAGCTCTAACCCAACTGTTATATGTCTGACAAATGACAGCAGGGTGCAGCCTGTAGAAATATCGACCCTTCTGATCCCACAGCCAGTGAACGAGAGGAAGTTCAGACAGAGAGAGGGGGGAAAGAAGACAACACAGAACCTCATTGAAGAGAGCAGTTGATGCCAGGCCAAGACCCTGACAGCTGTGTGGTGAAGGACGGTCCAGCCTCTGCCTGTTTTCAGAACAGAGGAGAGAGCTGTAGAAGTAGGGCAGAGGAAGCATACGCGTCTGGTTGAGATCAGTTGTGACCTTCACACAGCATGCAAACGTGATCTGCACACTATATTTACTAACTTCAGCAATTCATTGTCTGAATACAGTTTTCAGGAATATACTGGTTCTTTTAAAAGATGAGCGACAGAAAGAGTAGTTTGTTTTCTCAACATGTAAGTGATGCCCCCACTTTTAACACTGACAGCAATGCATGATACTACCAGAGCTAAAAGTAATTATTATTTTTACTATCGCTTCATCTACTGTTATTTTCTTGATTAATCGCCTCAAAGTTGGTCTTTGAAATGCCTCTAGTGATGTCTTAAAAGGCCTTGTTTTATCCAAGAGAGATGTTGGGCATCTTTGCTTGTGTTCAGGCTTGCAAAGCACATTCTTATTAAAGTAGTAAGTAATCCATTGTACCCGACAACAACAAAGAGCTTTACTAATTCAGAAGAGACCAGGTAAAATTCTCAAAATATACAATTTATTCAAAATATGTTAATGCAACCATCCACATATTCCAGTAATTATAAAATCAGTAGTTTTTTGTCTTTATAATCTTATTGTTATAGAGGCTTGCAGACAAACACAAGCGTTGATCTATACCACGAGAACACAGGGTACTTTTTAAACAGGTGACTGTCCCTCTCTGGCTAATACTGAGTCACTGACCCGGTCGTAGTTAGAAAATACAATTGAATGGGATTTAGATTTCATCATAAAGGAAGCAGATCTGACATTTAAATTGAATCGATAGGATAAATGTGAACTGGAGCAGCTCCGGTAAATTTCAGCTGAATCATAACGAGATGATGTCACTGCCCTTTGACCCTTTAATACATTAAATGAAGAAGGAACCAAAAATAGGGGATATAGCAATCTCTTTGACTCTGTGACTTCATTTGTACTTCCTCAAATTGAGTTGAAAAAAACAGACTGCTTTCAATGAGGCTGTTGCGGGAAAAAATTGCACAAAAAAAAACAAAAAAAAACGGCCACAGACGCTAGTCACAAATATGATGACGACGCCTGGGTGCACTCCACTGTAACATGTTGGACTACTGCAGGGGGCTACAGAGACTCAGTTTCTCCCTCTACCACCAAACATCGGCTAACAATGTTCCTCGATGTGGGCAAATGTATCTACATATATGTTCCTCAGCGGTAACAACACATACATGTAAATGCAGTTCATGGGAACACATAGGGGGATACCAATTTCAGACATATTTACAAATGCATCTGTAAATATTTGCCACTGTACAGTTGATGTTGTGGGGATTAATGTGGCATTGTGGGTCGTCACATGGGGGTCGGACATCAGACACGAACAAATCAAGGAAAAAGCCAATCTTACCCCAAAGTGAACCCATGATGCACTAGAGGACACCTGACATAATGGTGTGGGCTCGCTACATACCAAACCCACGTGTGGATTCATGTTTAAAGAATGAGTGAGGCAAGCATACAATTCCAAACAGTAATTCATTACATAATACTTACAATTTCTGTAATAAAACAAATACAGTGACTGGGAGAAGATAAAGCCACACAATGGCCACCAGCAAATACAAAAAAAAACATAAACAAATAACACTGTTATTTGTAGTGACACAGATATTAAATCCATCCCATTAGGACGGCTTGTTTGCGTGATTTTAATAACATACAGCAGACAATAACCCTTACTCCACTTCATTAGTTCAACGTTTGATTCTCCATGTCAGAAGGTTCCCCAGCTCATTCTTCTATTGCATTCAAGCTCTCCACACAACATCCAAAAAATAAATACACTCAACTTGAGGAACCATCGTTTTTTTCTTTACACTTTACATTAATTTCATAAATAAAGAAATGTACAGTCATTTTTAACCATGTTTGCTTTAAATTATCTAAACGTGAGAGCACAAATTGAGTAATGCATAAAACAGAGCATGACCTGTCAGTTCAGGTTTGATATGAGAGGACGGTGAGGTGAAGTTTCAATCACTAGTGCAGGACTTAACTCTTTCATGTTATCTCTCGCTGTAGAGGCACACTTCCTGAATATTTTAACACTCGTTTATGGCATTCCTTCCCTTTACTTATGCAGGCAGCATTTTAACATGACAGGTACTTCAGAGGAGACGTCACAGATCTCTTTTTGCTACGTTTCAATGTTTCTGTGGTGGCTTTCTTGCACATTTGACCATGAAATATGACAAAAAAGTGGAAGAATGAGGTTTGACAACAATGCTAGTTTGTCCTGAAGAAAATGTTTAATTACATGATAACCGTATTTTTCTAAATAGATTTTCCATCTTCACCTCTGAGGACGAACATGCACCGTGTACCTTGAGCTCTTCTCTACTTTCCTAGTTTTTGACCCTCCAGGTGAAAGAAGCAAACTGTCCACACTTGGGTTCTTAGAGGTGCACAGGGGACAGCAGGGCCAGAGTAACAGCCTCTTACTCTCGTTCTATCCATTGGGCTTGTGGAGACTAAATTTGAATCCAAGCGACACCTGGAGGAAAAAAGGTGTCACTGCTCGGTTCTTCTCCTCTCTGCTACGCTTGACACGTGCCTGCGTTTGCAGAAGATGTCTCCTATCGTAGCAGGATTGACGAGACAGGGAGGTACTCGGTACATTCTTCAGGCTAGCCATCTTCTCTGGGAGAAGTTTAAAGGAGGGGAGGGAAAGGATGTTAAGAGACAGGAACACCCCCTCTTTCCTTCCTTCCTTCCTTCCTTCCTCTCCTCCTACAGCACTTTCCTCGCTTCTCTGTGCAAAGCACTTTTGTTCCGTCAACAGTCACATGACCAGGGTGCTATGACACGCAGCAGCAGGTTCGCACGTTGGGCTGCTCTTCTTCCATTGGCTGTTTCAGTTTGAGGAGCGGCGGGTCGCCGCTGGCAGGCGTGTAGTAAACCGCGTTGCCATTGGAGGAGACCAGCGGCATGCGGGGATCCTCCGAGTTGTTTCTGGCATCAGTGAAGGAGTCTGTGGAGCCGTTACCCAGGTGACCGTTGAACAACGGGTGATTCAACAATTTGGCAGCAGCCCTTTGTTTCTTGAGCTCAGACAGGGTTTGAGCGCGCTCTCTCGGAGAGGCTTCCTCCTGAGCGGGCGGGCTGGTGGTGGTGGCTCCGTCCTTATCAGACGATGGCGTGTTGCCGTTGGAGGGCGGCTGCTGCGGCGGCGTGGACGTCGTCGTTGAGATGAGGCCGTTCTGTTTGCTGCTGCCATCTTTGAGGATGGTGGGAATCTTGGGCGTGTCTGGCAGCTCCACAGCTAAGACCGGCTTGACCTGCAGAACATCAATAAAGCTGACTTTAATCTCTCTATGAGGCTCCTCTTTTAGATTAAGTACAGCTATAGAGTTCATTTATTTGCAACTATAAAGAGAGGTTCCCCTCAGAAATTGTTGCTCAATGTATACGAGGGGCTCTTCTGTGACGAAAGCTTGAAATGTACTTTTCCCTCTCAATAAACTACCATTTCAGATTATTATTATTATGTTAATGCACCATTGAATTAGAAAAGAGAGTAGTCTGGAAACAGAGTTTCCATCTTTTTTGACATGCTATACTATGATTTTTATGACATATTACACTTTACATTTTACAATGACATACTATACTATAACATTTGTAAGACATATTATACCACACCATATGACCTTTTATAGAATATTACACTATGACATCTTTAGTGACATTTTAGGGGGCATACTATACTATGACTATTTTCATGGCCTTTTGAAATAATATACTGTGGCTCTTTTCATTAAATCTTTTTGACATTTAATAAGCTCTTACGAGACGAGACAGTCCTGTGCAGAATCGATCACCAGCGATCGCCGCACAATGCATGATTTTGCAGATTTGACAAAAGAAAATCCTATCTTTCTGTTATCTTAATACTTAACACTAGATTGTTGGCTATTAATCTCGTGTTTTGCGATTAAGGTTTAATCTAAAGTCATATCTTGTGTGGTTGATAGTAATAAAGCATTAAAACAAAGGACAGCATACAATGCAGATACATTTCCACATAAATGTATATTTACAAACACATGAATACATCTGAACGAGGTCTGCAAACTATAAGTAGCCTACAGATCTAACAGGAAGTAACTGTTTCTTTGACTTCCTGTTTATTCTTTGAAGGTGGCTGAAAACTTTCCGACTTGACCGCAGATTTTTTACAATGCCGTTTGCTGCGACCGACTGCTCTCGTCCATTTTCCAGGCAAAGTGCAGCTCATCTCCAACGAGCGTATTGTGACTTTTTTCATTATGTTTTTAATGACATTTCTCATGAAATACGATGATATGTCTTTTTATGACGTATAACACTGTACAATTTTGATGACAAACTATACTATGACTTTTTAATAACTTTTTTGTGACTTTGTTGGCCATACTACACTTGACATTTTTGTGACTTTCTTCGACGTGCTATACTAGATATATAATAGAACGTATATAGACATGGTCTCTGTGATGTCACTCATAGGTTTCTGAGGAGCCGTTATGAAGCTGAAAGTTAGTGGCTCTGGCTGTCACCATCTTGGCAGTGACGACACAGCCTAACTCTAACAATAGGCAAAGAGGTGGACTGTGGGGGGAGCTGAAGAGGGCCAGGGTGATGCAGCAGCGCAGACAGCTAGCTGCTGGCAACCTGAGACAGCACCCACCTATGGAGTCTGGAATCTATGGCGATTGACTCACTCTCAGGAACTACATTTTTTGGCACTTCCACATTGGCTTCATTTGTCAGCACTGCCACGGAACTAAAAAAATATGCAAACAGGAGCAGGAATACTTCAGCCCTGCTTCTTTTTTCTGCATGGATACAGCTCTCCTGCATAGTAAATCAGCGGTAGAAGCATCTGGAGAATCTGCTCTTTGGCCTCGTAGTAGATCATATGAACCGCTACCACAGGGGGAGGGAGAAGTTGTTGTCACCGAAAAATGATTTCAGGATTAGTTTTTCCATTAAGAAAGTTGGGTGATTTCCTTTGATCTTATCCTCCAGTCCAGTCACTCTTACATTACTTCTCCTTAGGAAATGTTCAAGCAAGTGTCTCGCTTGGCGTGTAGGTTGGCGTTCTTAAATTGTAAAGCTGTGTGGAATGCTTGGAGCACTGTGACTCCATCCACGTCAGTCAGAAAGGTTTCAATGCTGCGATTTTCTCATCGCTTCTCCAATATTGGAGATGTCAATCAACACAAAGTTTGCATTTGCTTTCTTTTCCCATTTGGAATATTAAGCCAACCAGGCTGTATATTTGTGATTGTTAAGCCAGCCCTCTGTAAAAACTTGCATATTACCATCGTCCATCAGTCCACAGTCCTACGCAGGACGTTGGACAATATTCCACTGGCAGGCTGTGACGTAGAGGCATAGAGGCTGCTCTGCGTAGGAGTGTGCGTTCAGTCGCATGCCATACTTCTTGCCTTGCTTTCAACAACATGAAGCTTGCTCTGGCCTGTGCTCTCTCTCACACCGTGAAAATTTTTTTTTTTGCTGCACTGACAATTTATTTTTACAAATTCTGAATTTTAAAAAACAGAATAGGAGCAATAGTCTGGAAACACAAAGATTTTTCCACACTTTTCTTTTTCCCCATACTTATTCAGACCTGGAAATGACCACAATCAAAGTACATACTTTTCCTCACTGCGTAGGAACCTTGAGAGGAGGAATTCTCAAACACTTCTTTTAAAACTGTGCATAGGATTACAAGGAAAACAGAAACTGTAATACATGATAAATAACCTGAAGACTCACATTAACCACCTGGTTATTCTCCTGATCAGACTCTTTCTCTTTTTCCTCCTCCTCCTCTCTCCCGCCCCTCCACACGATGGCCTCAGTCTCGTACTCTTTACGGCACAAGTTGTGTCTGTCCGACAGGCTGGCTCGCCGCACCACTTTTCTGTGAACACATGGGGTTCCAGTGAGAGTTGTGCAGGTAGGAAAGAAACATGCCAACAAACATGAACACAGCATTACTCGTATGTAGATTTTACTTAAATTTTACACTTGAAGATTAAAAGAGGTGGCTGTGCTCATTTAAACAACAGAGTTCAGAGTGTGCACATCAAAATCACATTTACTAAACTGTACAGAAGGCAGAACTAAGACTGACAGCTCCCCTCATTGACGAGGATTTGTGTAAAATTTAAACTGTCTTATAAATTAGATTTAGTGGGCGCTATCACTGCAGTGCACAGATTTTATTTTTTTGTGTAACTTGCCTCAATCTGCCGATCTTTCCTTTCTCTTTGGGAAGGAAAGTAAATAAACTTTGGTAAATACTCTGTAGTAGCACCAGTAACACCAGCAGGTGTCAGCACTTACCCACGACTGCCTGCACTGGATGTCCGCCTACACAGTGAGGTCTTGTGTTTGAGCTGTGATTTCATGATAATGTCATGTTTGTGTTTCAGGTCCAGCAGGATGGCTCTGAATTCCTCGTCCTCACACAGATCTTAAAAATGAGGAGGAGGAAGGACAGGAAATGTTTTATGAGATTATGAGACTGTAAAATTAATTTGTTTAGGTAATTATTATCCTCAGTGATGCTACTAGTTCCTAACACCGACTGTTAACATATACTTAAGTTCATATACCCAAGTTGTAAAACTTTAACATTTAACAACCATCAAGACTGCCAAAAATGCAATAAAGAAGGTTTAGATTCACCTTAACAAGATCTAAATCAGCATTTAAACAGAACAAACTCTGTAAACGAGACCATGCTGAGAGAAGACATTTGTTTTCTTTACCCCCCCACCAGGTGTATTGATAAGAGTGTTGAGGTGTAAATATACCGATGGGGGTCTCATCTAGGAAGGTCTTGGCATTGAGACTGGCTCCATGAGACACCAACAGCTCCGCCACATGCATCTGAAACAACAACAATCGCAGCAAATTATGTTAATGGATCATTATCATGTGTGCCAGCTTATCTGTTTCCTGTTATGTTGACCTCACCTGACCCCAGCATGCTGCAGCGTGGAGAGGATGCCATCCATCGAAGTCTCTCAGGTCCATGCGAGCTCCGCCCTCCAGCAGCAGCTCTGCAGCCTGCACGTAGCCGCTTGCTGCTGTGATGTGGAGCTGCAAGGGAAACAATAAAAACTAAGATTTGTCCAGTGCACAGGATTTGCTATAAATATGCTCTGTGCATAAATCCAGCGTGCATTTCACACTAAAGCCACAATTTAGGTAAAATAAGAATATTGTGGTAATAATTCAAAAAAGACATTACACTATACCTGTAAAAATCGACATCAGATATTCACTTTCGTCCAAGTTTGAGGAAGTGGATGCATCACTGGGCACCTTCAATCACTAATGTTTTGTCATATTATTTCCCCAACATTGAAAAAAAAAAAAAAGCTCTGCCATCATTTCAAGCTGATGGGTTGCTTGGTCCAGCTGGAACAGCTCTTCTGCCGTTTGTAAACTGAACTGCGTTAACAGTTAGAGATTAAAAAACAGATCCTGCTGACCTGAGATAACCCACTCTGCAGGTCAGAAACTCACTTGTATGAGGAAACACTTATAACACGGGCAGAGCACAGAAGATCACTGCACACATTTTTTAATTGCAGGATACTGACTGTTGTCACCAGCAGGACAGTCAGTACAAAGTTGTGTTATTCAGCCAAACATTGTTCAAACACTCAGTTGATTACTTTAAATTCTAGTGGCCATATTAAGTTTCCAAAGATAGTCCAAAACCCAGAGAATGTTCTGTCATAGAGGACAGTCAAAGCCATTAAATATTCACATTTGAGAAGCGGGAGTCAGGAATTGATTGATCAAAACTGCTGCCAAGCACTAAGTGAGAAACAAAGTAATTGTTTCAGCTCTACATCGTATATTTGACGAGGAGCTGCAGAAGCTGATGTAAAATCTTTATGTATGTGATCTTGTCGAAATGATTTATGATTTTAACAACCTTAAAGCTCCTTTAAGGGGAAACAAAAGAAGAAAACTGTACAAGCTCAACATTTTATGTTTCTTAAATGCTATGAATGAATGTGATGGGTATTTAAACATTTTGATGTACAGCATGTTTAGAGGTTTTTGTTTGGGGTATTCAATGGACATTTTCTTTTGTCTCGCCTTCAAATCCCCGTGAGTCTGTCTGAGAAACGTACACGCGTATAAAACGAAGCCGTCACCAGCCTCGCTTCATCTCATCCGTTTCTGATTATTTCTCAAGCAGGTTAATTTGGTCGCTATGGTGCCAATAACCGTAGACACTTCTCAAACTAGTGAGAAGGAATCCATCTTGGTCTGACCAGAAACGAGTTTGAGCAACTGGTGACAACGTGAGCTCATATGCACTAGAGTGTTGCTGAAGAGAGAGAGAGGAATGCACACAACATAAGATCCAACATACCAGTTACGCAGCATTTTCTTTTCTTTTTTTTTTTTTTTTACAAACTGAAGCAATTTCTTTCTCTGTCCCCTACAATCAGGAAAGGGAGCACACTGCTACATGTATATAATGAGCAAACTGAATGTGCCTAAGTATCTTTTAAAAGCAGCCTTTCCTGTAAAAAATTCCCAACGTTTAGAACCCACAGTGAATGTATCTACAGCAAAATATCCAAAAATAATTCGGGCTTCATTGCACACCAATCAATGGCTCACAGATCCTTGAGTACCTGACATGTTAAAGGGGATGTTTAACTGAGGTGCTACAATAACCGGGCATTTTAAGTGGATGAGGAACTTTAAGGTCCATCAAGAGACTGAAAATGTGCGCCATTGTCCATGTTTTAAATTGCTTCTTTCTCCTCTCTAAAACCGCAAGCTTTTCACTCCACCATCAAGAATGGCAGTTTGGATCACGTATAAACAAAAATATGTTGTGATAATCTCTGTCTGTCTTATCCTGTTTTTCTCCAATAGCCTAAAGACATGTCAGTTAGGTGAAACTGTACATTTTAAACAGCTGGCAGATGTGATTGGGAGGCTGTTTATGTCTGTAACCTCCCTCAAAATTGACTCATTTGTATAATTTTGTACACGTTATTTTGTCACCTGTGAAAAAAGACGCTGCCAATAATTGTTCACATGACCTTAATGCAAGAAGTGGAATGACAGTTTAAGTTTGTGAATATTTGTTTTACTTCTTTAGATCTCAGATCTATTATTGTTCAGTTCTCATTCTTACTGTTTTTGATGTAAATTGGTCGTTTGGTTAGTACCTTGTGTTTTTGGTTGATTATTCACAGTGAATCTCACCAACATACTGTAGGTTGTACTTTCTCTCTCATCTGTTTGCATCACTTAAATTACACTCAGAGACTGTAACTTCATGAATGAAATAAATCGTCTCCTGTTCGATCAACCCACGAGGGGTGAAAGTCATTGCTCCTGTGCATCAAAACAAAGGACACAAAATGTATTTCGGTTGAAAACAAAGCGATTAATCTTACATAACTTCCTACCAGTTCCAGGTCTCGTCCTCTCTGTTTTTGGCAGAGATTTTAATAAGGCATGCTCTAGTTTGCCCCATCGTGCTCGAATGAAGATTAACAGAACCCATAAAGCAAGGGGACACACAGCTCAATGGGACAATCTGTAGTTAGACTTTAAAGCTTAACAGGGTTATTTTGGGCTACTACCATGTAATGTCCCCTGGCTATTTTCATCTAGTGATCCGTCACGTTGTTCCCCCAACGTAGATAAAATCCCTGATACAAAATAAAGACTCCATTAAGGCATTTGACATCGTACGCTCTTCTCAGGAAAAAATTACACTCGTGATTTTTTGTGCCCAACTTGACTTTTTCATGTATCAGTGCACTGAAATACAGAAAAATAAATTCAGTCACCAGTTCAGTTTTAGTTTAGTTTGTGCATCTGTGACTCACTATTTTAAGCCAAAGAAAGTGTCTTCATACCAAAACCATGCACGCTTGGGTCCTCTCTAATGCAGCCGACATAACGTGCAAGAATGAAAGCACGCTTTGAAAACAAAAGAACGTGATGGACGCATTAACATCTTTTATTGCCTTACCGATGCTAACCTACAGAAGCTATGGGTATCATGAATATATTTTGTCTAAATGTGTCTCACTTTACCTCAGTCAGATGTGCATTTCTTATGAATAAACGAGTGCAAGCTTTTTGCTCGTTTATGGTGATGGTGGATTGTGTTCCTTTTCAGACAGCCAAGATCGTGCCAATTGTAAGTCTATTTCCCATCCAATTTGATGTGTTCAGCATTTACTTTATGATTCTTGGTCACTTGTCATCATATGTTATTGTTTTTCCTTAAAGCTAAGCTCGGCAATTTACTTCACTGACACTTTTTGTTCCAATTCTCTTGACATCCCGACAGCAATCAATGACTCAAATGCTGATAATATGGCATCTGTTGCTGTTGTAGGACTGTTATGAGCCCGTCCAATCGTTTCATTGAGCCCGTATGAAATGATTGGGTGGCCTACCTGCCCGTCTACCTACCTACCCTCCGTGCACTCTGCTGGTGCAATTAGTGGGATTGACGGGAGTCCAACACAAAGCTAGGCTGTTGTAGCTGTGAGCACAAACAATACCCATGTCCGTTGTTTGAGTTCATTATGATAATGTTACATGTTTTCACACATGTGAATGAGACGTGGGCGTCGTGGACACGGTTAGTGTCCACCACGGTTAATGACAATCTCTCTCTCGTGGACTCGTCGTAGTGCGTTTAAGTGTTTTGGGGGAGTGGCTTTAGTAAGAGCCTAAAGGGAGCGATTTTCAGCTCAAAATCTCGCTTACTTAGCTGGTTTCTCCAAAGTGGTCTACCCCTGCTTTAACGCATACATATTCATCATTAAAGGTTTATTCTAATCTACCGTCAGGTAGCTTTTAAATTGTGACTGCAGGTGTATTCAGGGCTCACAAACGGATCCCTTTCATATCTGCAGAGTATTTTTAAATCGTACAGCTGCGTCTCTAAATGACTGATTAGCTTTAAAGGTTTTATTGCCTCATGAGCCAGTGTTGTAGAGCGCATAATCATTAGAAGGTGAATCTATAATAAAGATGCTCCTCTGAATATTTACACACCTTTTCCTTTTACCTCTCAGTGCAGACCTGCCATGTCTGATCATTTGAAAAGAGTTCTTAAAGGAAGAGATGCAGTTATCTTATTCATAGCTCTGTAGCGTTTAGTCTCATAATGTTTACTGCTGCGAGTTAATGATCAATAATATCTACACAATTATATGTCTCAAACAACTTCAGGATTATGTCTCGTCTTATCGCCACATCATCATATTGTTGGTTGCTTTGAGCTAAAATACAACACATGGTGACATGTATGTATAATTATTGTCCCTTACAAATAAAATATAGAAATTGAATAAATATTGTATCATATTAACTGCTACTTTGTACATGTGTATACCAGTGGTGGGCCGTCAGGGCCTGCAAGGCCTTCTCTGCTGGCCTAGACAGAATCACAAAGCTATTTTATAATTTAATACTTTTTCATAAATACACTACATGTATTATAATTATTTTCTCATTGCACAGCTGCTGTCTTCCTCAGTTGCTCTGCTTCCAGTGCAGCTTGTTTGATTTCACCTCTGTGTCTCTAGGTAGAAGAGAGGCCCGAGGCCTGCAGAAAACTCAACACACTTTTATTCTACTGTTAATATTTAGTTTGATGTTTTGACATTTTCTTTATACCCTGGTCCTAAGAGAGGAGACATTTTGATTCAGCAATATTTTCTTATATCTTCAAAATGATGATAAACTTGAACTTTAAAAAAAAACATTTAGTCAGCTTGTTTTAAATTGAGATTGGTAGAGAAATGTCAAAACGAACTGAGTACAAAGTCTTACCAGTGTGGCCCCCTGAGAGTCCTGTTGGTTAACCTCCTCTCCCTGTCTCAGCAGGTCCTGAACGTCCCCCATCATCCTCATCTCTGTTGACGCTCGTGTCTCGTTGATCATCTCCTGGGTGATGCCTGTCAATCAAATACACAAGCAGAACCACAGCGTTAATCACAAGGCGGGCTGTTTTTTTCCTGCAGCATGCTGACGGGGCCAGTTCATCGCTGATCTGAGGCTCATGGAGGAACAGAGAGGCAACTCGGGTATAACGGACCAGGGACACATAATCATAATGCTTGTACTGAAACCGACTTCAAAAAGTCAACGTTATGAAGAGAAATTAATTTTCAAGTTTGACAGAAAAATCATTTTTTAAATTACACTGGAGGTTCTCTACAAGCAACGGGTCATGGGGTCCACCATAAAAGACTTCTCAGCAAGTATAGAAAATTGAAAGTTTTAAGGGATGTAGAAATAAGTTTTAATGGGAAAGCAGCAGATACAGACTCATGTTTGTTTGACTTGTTGCAGTCACTAAACCAATGAGCCAAACTAAGACATGAGTAATTTATAACATCATGAATTAAAGAAAAAGTTAAAATAATGTTACTGGTTAACGTAAATACATTTGCAGATAATTATTTCAATGTATTTAACTTTGTAAGATCAATACGGAGCTGCCTTCAGTTCAGTCTTTGAACCTTAAGTACCTGATAGAAATAAATTGACTGTTTCGTCTCAGTGGCAAACAGCATTCCTCTTTCATGCTGCCTTTCCTTCCACCTTCTGCCAAAGAGTTTCATGGTGTTTGGCCCAGTTGAAGCTCAGGTGATTCTGTCTGTCACAGCCACTCTACATTCCTCCTTTAATTCATTGCCTCACTGCCTCACTGCCAGGTACGACTCAATACTGTGACAGCCACACTTGACTTCTTCCCCCAAAGCTGAGCAGTAATGTGCCCGACTGTCCAGCACATTTAAAGAAATGTATAATGAAAACAGCCCATCAGTCAGAACTGTGACTCTTATATTCTCACAGTGTGTGACTGAATATGTGAATTACTAAAAATACAACAAATGAAGCGCTGTGGATGCAAATAAGATATTTTTTTAAAAGAGACAATTATTTTAGTCCCTCAAGTGACAGCAGCTGGAAATAAAAGTATGTTTGAATATTCACAGAGATTCGTCATTTAAAGATAAATCTTTGTTTTTGTCAACAGAAACTGGACACTATAATTTGAAATAAAACGTGGAAGTAGATAGGCATCCCCTGACTGTGCATGTGTTATTGTCAGTATTATCAGCCCTACGACCTTTCCTGTGACACAGAGTTATAAATTGAACCTGGGCGAGTAAAGCTGAAGGCAAATCTATCCACTCAGCCATCATCCCAGCCTCCAGCCCGCCATTTTAAAGTCAACTTCCTGTTTCAGTGACACACCCGTGTTTTCAGCCACGTCCAAAACAGACATACGGGGATGGCCAGTGATTCTGAAAAATGGTGAGGAGGAAAATTGGTATTTCTCTCTGAAATCATAAGCAGAATCACAGCCCGAGGGTGTTTAAAGGAGCGGGAATCAGGACGACAGTCCCCTTCGTCGACTTCAATGAAATGCATCCCTCCAGCTACTATTTTCTTCTGTGTTTTCTGTCAGCAAGCATCCGTCTCTTTGGTTTCTCTCATGTTTCGATTTAGCGACAGTGATGCCCTTCAGCTTAACAATGCCCCAAAGGATCTAAAAGAATGTAGAACAAAACAAACATTCCTCATTGTCATACTATGACGAATGTAGTTAACAGTCATTATATCATCACATAAATAAGAAAAGACTGAAGACTGATCCCAGGGCCAAGAACATTGGTCTGTGGAACCTGTGTTCAAGGATCACTGTGTCCTGCAATGACAACAATACTTGCATAGTTGTGGCTAAAAACACGACTAGAGACACTACACTTAACGTCACAACTCCCCTCTGTATCTATGGACGAGTCACCAATGTAAAAAGATTGATTACAATCAAAATGTCCAAATTTATAATGTGCATTACCTGCTAAGATTTTAAGTCCTAAATGAGGAATGTTTTGCTACAGAGAAGGCAAAAATGGCGGGGAGAAATAAATCCAAATTGAATTAGGCCAGCGACTGATCATTTTATCCACTTTGAGCCTGATGTAATGTCTGCAAATGTCTTGTTTTGTCCGACCAGTCCAAATTTAAACAATATTCAATTAACTATAATATAAAACAGAGAAAAGCAGCAAACCCTCACACAGTTGGAAGCGACGAATGTTTAGTATTTCTGCTCAACAAATTACTCAAACAATGAATTGATAATCAAGTGATTTTAAAACAAAATCAATTCCTCAAAAATTGCAGAACCTTGTGGGTGACATCTTCAATGCTGCGGCCATTTTTATCATCAGTCTAGTCGAGTCTTAGGTTTGAATTTGAATGACATCAGCTGTGTGGTTTCACTGTTCTGCATCCCCACTTTAGTTCACCAGGTTCAATTCCTGCTAGACGTTTGCCCGTTATCACTGCGGCTCATCACAGATGAACTGTGCTCAACAGGGGAGGATCAAGAGAAAGTCAGATCAGTTGATGCGGTGTGTGTGTGTGTGTGTGTGCGTGTATGTGTGTGTGTGTGTGAGTGAGAGAGAGAGAGAGAGAGAGTGCTGGTGTGGCCATCCCTGCAGCTTCTCTGGAGAGATAATTCTAATCCAGCAAGTCAGTGCTGATAATGTTACGGGAGCAATTAGCAGCGGCGCGCTTCCTTTGATCAGCTTAATAATCATTCTTCTCACCTACTGTACCGCTATCTGCATTCTGCGGCTCCAGAGATCCCATTGTAAACTGAGAACCTCATTTTCAGCAGTCTCTGTTTTCCCTTTGCAAGCCCCCAGCCTCTCTCTTTTCCAGAATTGTCTATTGTCTATTTGCACTGTTAAAAAATGAATTAACCCCACACTCGTTTACTATGCAGCACTTATCATAAAAAGGCTTTTTCAGACCTTTAATTGTCTGAGGAAATATGACTGAGCACCCATGATGCCCTCCAGCAGCACCCTGCGTCCACACCGTTTCCTCCTGTTTACCACTCAGCAGCTCCACTGAAGCATTTGGGATTTACTTTTATGCCGAGGGGCACCTTGACCGAGGAAAATTCCAGTATTTGTTTTAACCTTCTCTTCTTTGCTACATTTACACATCGACAGCAACCCACAGCCAGGCGGACGCATGTAAACAAACTAGATGACTAAGACGCTAGGTTGGTTAGCAGCAAGTTGCCCTGAAAGTAGATCTCTATACACAAAGGTCGACATTTCTAATAGTACGTGCTCATTGGATGGAGATTTGTCTGAGAATATGGGGAGTGAACCCCAGGAACACATTAGAAAGACTGATGAAAGAAACGCTAAATCAGAGATTGAACTGAATTACAGAGACTGTCTACCCAGTTAGCTACTACAGCCAATCTTGAGGACTAGTTTCTGTGTTCATTTTTGGTCGGACTCAGAAACAAACGATTAATGTACAACTGAAGTCAGAATAAACACAATTGTGAGAATAAGACCCAGATTGAACCAACCGCACTTCTTTATTTCTCTACACCCGAAGCCCCCGCAGCCACAGATTTAGCGGCTTTGTTCTCCAAAATGTGTGTTCACACGTCTGCCTGTAGATGTAACTGTTTACCAGAAAACAAAAACAAAAACATTGACAAGAGCTTATGTTAAGACGGTTGAGCGTGATTCAACTCCAGTGTAAATAAAGCCGTCTGTCACCCGACTCTCTCTGTGTCGGTCTTCATTCTTATCACACAGACACCGACTGAAATGCAAACACTTCTCAAAATGCAGCGCGACTTTCCTCCTCTTCCCTCACTGATGCGACGTCTCCTTGAGCTCTCTCTCACACAGACACACTGTGCAGAGTGTGTTTGTTTACAGCGATACAGCATGAATATACAGTATCCCAATCTGCATCCCGTCGCGAGTGAGAGAACTGTGAATATCTCAGAGCACCCCGAAGAGTCAATCCTGAATCTCTGCGGGACACTAAGTGCTTTCTGAGGTCACAAACCTGCTGCCATATTCCTCAACAATCTGTTCCCGTGGCTGACATACTTTGAACGCTGCCAGAAGCTACAGACACTCTTATCCCGCTGTTAAGGTTAAGGCGGCTTTATACTTTCTGTTACAAGTAAGGACAGAGACTTATGCTCTACCTCGGTTGGCCATAGCCGTCTCAATGATGTCCAGCGTCGGGTCGTCTTCACACAGGTCGTACGGCATGTTCCCATCAGAGTTGACCGCCAGCAAATCCGCACCGCTGTTGGAGACGAGCAGATAAATGACTGGAATGTTGAATTGTATAAGCTAATAAAAGTTCTAAATCTGCATTTAACAGCTTTGTTTACAACAAATGACATTCAAGTGCATTATCTGTGATCCAAATATACATGTAAGTGTACATCATTTTTGATGAAAAAAAAAACTAGATTACAGCTAAATATAATTTTTCAGATAATTGGTTTGTTTGCATCGGCAATGCTTCTAAGGCCTCTATTTTATACTCTGATCAGTTGGGAAACCCAAGACCTGCTGAAAAAAAACTAATAATAATAACTCAAAGTCTTGGTGGAATAAATCTCAGTTCGAGCACTAATTGATGAAGCTAATTAAATGAACAAGTCGGCCAGCATTATTCAGCGTTTTTTAATCACTAATTTCCCTGTGGATAATGAGTCCGAGCGATCGACAAGTCCTGCATGTAAACAGATGGCAGCAGTGTGGCTGAATATGTTGTGTGTGTGTGTGTGTGTGTGTGTTTCTAGTTATTGCATACCGGCAGAAACAATGTGAGTGTGTTCACATACTGTCAGCATCTGTGAATGTCTCTTTGAGTGGTGTACATGCTGTTATATCAGAGGACCTAATCAAAGCCTAATGTTACACTGTGTATGTAACTCTATACAGAATGTATTCCATATGTTCAGATGGGAATGTGTCAGAAGAACGAAATCAACAACACATGAGGACGTTTTTTTAGCCCCCAGAAAATCTGGATCAGCATCATTGAATTATGAAAATACATTTACATAACAAAGACTGCTAATAACGACTGTTAATCATTGCATGTCCTCGGGCCGGGAGGCAATTAAATATTACCCTTTATTGAATGTGCAGATATGATGATATAATGTTTTACCAAAGTCTGCTGTCTAAATTAATGTCTCAGAGCAAATTGTAATTAAAACTGTAATGTATCAGATAAAAAAAAGTCCAATTAATTGTACTGAACGTTAATTTGAATACATTATAAGCGATTTTCATACATTTGCCATATCACTACATAAACTGATTTCAGAAGTGTGGTTAAATAATAATGATTAACAGTATCTGCCTTCTCCAATAGGTCCTGTGCTTCTTTCAAACACCTGGTAATGCTTGAGGACAGCGTCATTTCCCCACCATGGCTTCCATTTTCCAATCTTTGTTTTTTAAATCATTTTATTTATTACAGCGAAATGTTTTTTTTCTTGCTACTGCTATTACTATGTGATCTTCTGGGCATTGCATCTACTCTCTAGGTGCTACTTTCTGCTCCTCCAGGTTGCAGCTTCTGTTGTTTTAGGAAGAGAAACACCTAATTTCTCTTGCCCAGAACTTAATTAAATAAACTAATTCATAGTTTCCTACAAGCTGCCTACAGTGGCTCACTGGGGACAATGTTTGCATTCATTTCAGACTCTGGTGTGTGTGTGTGTGTGTGTGTGTGTGTGTACAGTTTTCCTCGGGAAAGCACTTAGCAACGGCAGTTAGCGCTGCCCACAATTCTGTCTGATGAGCAGACACTGACGATTCGTCAAGCCGGTCAATACAAACTTTAATCTAACTTCTACTTCAGACTCTTCGGGGTAACGGGTGCATCCAAGAGTTTAAAGCAAACTAACTTCTGCTTGGGGGAGTTTTGTTTTTCTTACCCATCAGCACCTGGTTGTGGCTGATGGGATTGTTTGATTTTACTTTTCTCAACTTCACAGCAAAAACTCAGATGTACTTTCTAGATGATGGTTCAAACCGGAGTCCTCATTTAACACCAAGTACTATTTACTTCACTTCCACTATAGAGCGCTGCAGGAAACCCTGGTGTAGCATATCTGCATGTCTTACTGTGCAATGAGTATCTTGACCAGTCCTGCGTGGCCACAGGTGGCGGCGGCGTGCAGCGGCGTCCACAGCTCGTTGTCCTGAGCGTTGACGCTGGCTCCTCGGCCCAGCAGGATCTTCACCATCTCCTCGTAGTTATCTATACAACACTGTAGTGAAAAAGAAAGGGGGGAAAGAAGTAATGAATGAAATGATACTGTTGGGGCTGTAATACTTGCCGGTATAACACCTCGGATTGAGTTAGATATGTGAAGAAGGTGGGGAAAAGGAGTGAGGAATTGATAAAGATTGATATTAAGTGAACAAGAGATACAAAGGCAAGACAGAAAATGATAATAGTGGAACAGGTACGAGTTCACGCTTTGCAGCACATATCTGTTGTTTTTAACAAAATCATCAAGTAATATGAAAACTCTGGCGCCAGACATCCACAGTTTCCTCTTGTTTGGAGGAAATTGAAGTGCATTAGCTCTACATTTGATCATTTTCAGTCTGATGCAGCATATGATTCATACAGTGAGTAAGCTGTGTTGCATTGATGCAGCTGCACCTTAATCATCGCAGGACATGGATGAAAAGAGACTCGTTGACGCAAAGAGCACAAACAAACGACAAGTCAATCACGGAGTCAAACCCAATCCCTGCAAAAGTCCGTTATCGCATATTGCAGAGTGCAAAACTGGGAACACATTAAGCCAATTTGAACACAGCCATTCTGACATCTCAGCTATGGTGTGGGTTGTTCCCTGGATCTGTGACAGAAGCTGCAAATGCACCCATAACACACACCCATCCACAGAGACAAAGACAGGGACAGAGAGTATTTTCTTCGTTGAACCTGGGTGTGATTATAGGGTGGGGTGGAAGCAGAATTTTTCCGTGTAAACCATCCTCCAATCTAGCTGCTGTCAGCAACAGCAGTTTCCTCCATCAGAGCTAATTGGTGCGAGTGTGTCAGTGCTGCGCCGCTGAACAAAGACAAAGACGCATGAGAAGACAAGTGAGAAAAACAACAGGGAGAGAGAGAGAGAGAAAGAGAGAGAGAGAGAGAGAGAGAGAGTGCAAGGAGCAGACATGTAGTCAAAAAATGGGATTACTTTGTCACAGCGGGAGGGTCAGAAATAATCAGCAAACTGCCGGATTCAGAGCAAAAGTCTTGTTGTCAGTGTGAACGGGGCACATCAGCAAGAGCCAATGCTATTATGTGTGCTGGTGAAGTTGTGGGTTTGAATCTGATTTATCAAATGTCATGTTGGGACCCTCCCTCACTCTAGTGTATGTACAGCATATCAAAGAAAAAATGTCATAAACATCCTTCTTTGTTTCCAGAAACAGCTGCATGTTTTGAGAGCACATTCACTTTCGTGAGAAGCCACTGGAGTGTCGTCAGTTCTCGACTCTGTGCTTTGAAATGAAAATGAGTCATCTGTCGCGATGAAATGCTAAATCAGCTGACTGCTGTTAATCCCGTTATGATTCAGCCCACTGAAAGATTTAAACAAAGTGAGGAAATGGGGAACAAACGGTTGGTGACAAACAAACTAAAATGGAGAAAACCAAAAGAAAAGAACCAAATAAATCCTTCCATTTTATAAACCACTTAAGTCAGCCGCCAAATGATTCCTTTAATGCAAAAATTAGAGCCTCTGGAACGTTTCTGTAATTATAGAAGGACAGAGACTTTTTGACATGCCTGAAGAAGCTCAGTATTAGACTGAAGATCTAACGAGACCTGGTTCAGTCGGCAGCCAATGTGGATACCTTATCTTTAATTTTCCCTTTGGGGATTGATAGAAGTTTTTGTAGAAAAAATAGACTCCTTACGTTCACAAAGAAGGCGACGCAAGTCGAAATATTGTACTTCTCTGTAGGCCAGATGGCCAGTACACCACTGCTAGCTAGCGAACATGCAGGATGTGGTGTTATTGAGCAGCACAAACGCTGATGCTGTGTGATCTAGTGTTTATATAGTGTTCGGGGTGGCGTAATGCTAAGAATATGTTAAGAAATCGCAATAAGATGATATTGTGGGCTTGGTATCATGATGTCGTATTGTGGGCCCTCTGGTGATTGCCACCCCGACTTTGTTTGATTAAAAGTACATTCCTTCCCTCTTACACTACGTCTTTAAGTATTTCACCACACTGCACAAGCTCACCATGGAAACCTTGAGAAGCTGAGGTGCGCAGAGGAGACAGTTTTTCTTTTTTTATGGATTTACATAGAGGATGAGCTGAAGTGCAATCTCTAGAGGTTTCTAGTATCTGAGAGAAGGAGCGAGAGCAAGTCACAGCACAGCTAGAAAGGTACAAACGTGAATATAAATAAACACGGTGGAGATGTCAAGAAAGAGAAGGGGAAGCAGATTAGAAGATATACAAAAGTCAGTTTTGAAAATGCAAACAACAGCAGCAGATTCTTTCAATCAGCATCCTATTGACATCAACAGGCTAACAGCATGTGCAGAAAAGGATTTACCTTGTTTTCTGCACATAACACAGCAGTTAAATATGCCAGCACATATTAGATGTGACTTTTCTGACAGTAAATGTCCTTGTAGTAATGAGTGTGGAGTGGTTAGTGTAATCCAGACAGGAAGAACTGAGCACAGAAGCTGTTATTGTGTGACAAGGCGAGCAGATGTGACTGCGGGATGATTTAGTGGCCGAGAGCATCACCTTTGGTACCACGTACATCCCTGCTGGCTTAAAAACAAAACCTCAATCTGTCTTCTCAGTCACCTGTGCTCCATCTCTGTCTCTGCCTGCCACCTGAAAAAACAAATCTTAATCTGAGTGCTTAAACAACAATAAAAAAAAAAAGACAACCTTGACGTGAGGGGAAAATGAGTTGTGTGTATTCACAGGAGTTTTGTAGCACCGACTGCCAAGGCTACGCAGATAAGGCGGCTCTGACAGGAGTGTGTGTGTGTGTGTGTGTGTGCGGGGGGGGGTACATAAATTATTATACAACACAAGAGAGGAAATGAAATTACTTCACGGATGCAGAGGACAGATAGCAGGAAGGCAAATAAGAGGTGAAAAAGATGCGTAGACAACATAAAGGCTGACTGACTGGAAACTCTACTGGTTGACAAACATCCTGTGACGGCGCTTTCGTCACGGTGGAAAGAATATTGTAATGATAGCACGTTTAAGGCCTTTTTACACTCTTTTCCACATGAGAATTGTTACGCATTCTTTTACATTATTAAAATCTAACTGACCACTGAAAGACAATCTATATCCAGCTACAGAGCTGCTGTTTATGAAGACGATGTGTCCTAAAGAAAGAAAGTCTGACTTGAGGATCATTTCAGTGTCAGGATTTGTGTCACAAGTAGAAAACAACAGAAAATTGCATCTGGGCATTACGTGGCCTGGTTACACACCTCTAAATCACTGCCCATGTCTCAAATTTCACAATAGGTCTGGTGCTGACAGCTGCTGCACTGGGTGGAAAAACAAGCAACCAAATCAGACATTTGCAGGAAGATTTATAGCTTCAGAGAGAAAAACTGGTGAAGCGTGAATGAGATCAAGCTAAAGAGCTTGATGAAAACCTAAACGAATAATTACTCTTTAAATCGGCATATTTCTTTAATTGATGTGAAAAAAAAACGTAACCTTTGAAAGAAGATAGGACAAAAAAATATAAGCAAGAACGCCTTGCTCGACAGGGTTCTTTCCTGTGACAGCCTTATTTGGTCTGGTATGACCACTTCCTTTTGGTGGCTGACGTTAGTTTGCTTTAGATACTAACTGACACTACTGAGTCAGACGGTATAGTACTACAGCTACATGATGTTAAAAGCCATCAGTCAGCATGAAAAAAAGAAAAGAAGAAAGACATGAAGACTCCAGTATGAAGATCCTGGTCCCAGTCACAGAACACGGGAGGAGGTTCACTTCGAGGTTTCTCGTTTCTGAATCTTTGAGCTGTCGGTTACTGTCAGTGATGCTCAGCTGAGGAAGGCGAGAGACAGACTGAGAGAGAAACCGTCAGTGAGATCTTCCTCTAAAGTTCCCAAAAGCAGAAGTTGTACTGGTTTATTTGTGTCAACTACTTCCAGTGTCACTGATGTCAAAAGAGCACCGAGCACAACACATTTAAAGGAAAAGACGAGCGAAGACGAGTCACAAATTTCCTATTTGACCAAGTGTGTATCAGTGTGTGTGTGTGTGTCTGAAGGCATTAAATTCTTCCTCTTGTTACACCAAAATGGTCATTCAGAGAGCAAGTTATGGATTTCATTTTCTGTCTGAGTCTGGTAATTGGCAAGCCTGGAGATGTAATTAAGGGTGAATTAGCATTGAGCAGCCTCATAAAACTGACACGAACAAGACTCTTAAGCGACATAAAAGCATGTCAAAGACATCCACTACACTGTTGGATTAGCGTCTACATCTCCATCCTGCAGCAGCAGCTTGACAGATGTCATCAAGAGACTGCAACCTACACAGCAGCCAAACAACTAGGCTAATCTCCTAACCTCCTTCTGAATAAACCCACATACTTCAGCCCACCTGCTAGCTGACTAAACTAATCTCTTAGCTTTTCACTCAAAAACAAACAAAAGAAATCAAACATATTCACACATACGCGCACTGACAAGCTAACTAGCCTCTAAACTAAGCTCCCAGCCTTCCCACGTAGATCCCACCCGTCTTCTCTTGCCAACAAAGACTAAATGTGCCTTTCATGAAAACTATTCACACAAGGATGGGAGTGTGGCTCTGACAAAGGCTCGGATTATGTGGCTGGAAAACAACAGCAACAGTCTTGCTGAGATCCTTCAGTGGGCTGACAGGACTGTGGTCTGGGTCGAGGAGCAAAATGACGAGGGAGTAACGCTGTGATTGATAATTTTGTAGCACCGCGAGGGCCGGTCCTGAAACTGAAAAACTGAGGTTAAATGAGCACGACCGGGTGGCTGAGACTGCAGGAGGTTAAAGGATAAAAAGGCTTTAAAATTTACCAGGCATAACAGGACTCATGCAAATCATGAGGAGGGAAGGGGGTCTAGTGTTGAGAATTAGACAGAAAGGGCTCAATTAAATGAATCCGGGCTGTGACAAGCAGGTGGGACATCAGTCAGAGTACAGTGGATGATTTCTGGGCTCAGTTTTAGCTTAAACCACTGTTGCAT